AAAAAAAAAAAGAGTAAACCGTTTAATTGTCGTTTATATCCTTATAAGCCCGTAAAGATTTTAAAGCAGTTTGGAGGGTCGGCGAGATATAGAAAAGGGAAAAGGACAACCACGTATATATGGTTGGAATGAAGCAAATTTTGTCATGTACTTGTTATGCAGAAAAATAAGATCGGAATGAAACAACCTTATCATTCTATATATGTCATTTATCACTATTTTATAGAAAAAAATAATATTTATATTAATGTTATTTTATTATTTATGATACTATTAATATTATTTTATATTTGTAAAACTATACTATATTTTAATAAACATACTTCTGTATTGTTACACCTATTTTATATAATAAATAAATGAATTATGTAATTACATACATATTAACTTATACAAATGTATCCTTACATAAACCCTATAAGCATATGTGGCTAAATAGACCTTTTTATAATTTAATTTAATTCATGAATAAATATATAATATATATAATTATATAGTTATATAAAATAAAATAAGATATTTCTAAACTATTTATAAATGCATTTTTTGTGAGTTTTAATTTTATATAAATATTTAATTTATCTAACTAAAATATGACTAATAAATAAATTATTTTTTTTATTTTTTATTTGAAATTTATTTTTAAAATGATTTTATTTAATATAATATAATCATGATAATGTAGTATATATTATATATTTATTTTTTTTATTATTAGTTAATTTTATTTTTTGGGAAAACGATCCCTAAACTTATGTGAATGAGAAAACCATCTATAAGCTATGGAATAATTAATCCTATATAGATGGGTTTTGCGATTTCTATTGGAATTGTCATTACTTTCTAAAATTATATCAATCAATGAAAAAGGAATGAGTAAGGGAATGATCATTCCATTCCCACGTCATTTCCGCATACCAATCATGTCGTAAATTCTTTGCTTTCGATATAAAACATGGTATTGACTTTTCGCGTTATGTTCGTTGTACCATATATATCATGAGATACATAATATGTATGTATGAACATATATGAATATACGGTGCAGACATGTATTACTCCAAAGTCTTAGAATCAACTAATCTCGATACTCATGTTTGGAATTAAATACATAGAAATATAATAAATCAACATAAAAATAAAATTATTTCAAAAGAAAGATGAACGAAAGACTAAAAATCCAGTTGATCCCTCGATCTCTTTGGCTCTTTTGTAGTTAAATCTTCTTTGTGCTCCTTGTCTATGTGTGTATGTGTGTGTAATTTGTGCGCGCAACATGACTAATCTACCTGGGTCATAGACTGTGTCACATATGTTGGTATGTATTTTCTTCTATTTAAGTGACACAACCCATGTTATGTCCCAGTGCCTATGTCACACGGATCGCATTAACATTCTGCACTTTTTTTTTTCCTTGCTCGTTTCATTTACATTTTTCTACTATTTTTATTTTTGCATCAATTTTTCATCATCTCGGGGGTCTTAGGTACTCATTGTCCGGCTCCAATAGTCCAATGGTCCCAAAAAAATGTGACATTATATACGAAACAATCACGTGCTATACCTTCCCAACAAAATATATAATTAAAGCACAATAATGCAATTTATACGCTGATGGGTCCTCTCATAGATCTGGATCGAACCGGTTGAAGTGAGTTCTGATCTGCCTAAACCGCTAGGAATGTACCTGCAGAACTCAACGCCGAAGGGGTTTTCGGTGAAGAGCCTTCGATGCCTAAGTAAGTATCGGGAGATGATGATGCTTTGCAAAATGAGAGTAAGATAATGTATGAAGAACATAAAATTAGGATTTGGTGATACCTTAGCCCTTTTTATAGAAAACATACCTGCCAGAATTATCTTGCCTGAGTGTCTGCGGGTAGCCTACCAGACTGCTTGAATTTCAGTGCTTGTCCATATCTTAATCACCTCTTAGTCAGATACTAGTCATCTTAAAATTTCTTCTTATCCCTTTAAGATTCATCTTTATCATTTATGCCCATTTAATATCGGGCCTTGATCTTCACTAAGAACTCTTACCCCGAGTTGCGAGGCAAATCAGGTCGTCTTCGTGGTAATAGAGGTCGACTTAGGCTTATCTTGAGGGTCGAGTTATCCAACATCCTTTCATCTGGATCGAGCTATCCTACGATCTCATCTCCTTCTTATTCGTTATCACTCAGTTCAACCTCGAGGCTCTCGAGCTGTATATTATCGTCTCCGGCTCTTGCAGACTTCCCTAAATCGTTTCCTCTGGGTCGTCATGCTGATGGAATATCTTTATCAAGTTGACCTATATAGGTCGACTTATAAACCGGTCAAGCTTTCGACACTTAGTAAATTCTACACGAGTATGACTATATCATCTATTCCCCTCATCCCCCCTCACCCCCAAAAATAATTTACTCCAAGCTATCTCGAGCTTAGGAGTAAAATTGGCGGCAAACCTCCTGACTTCTGACATGTTCATACTTATTTGAAAAGTCTTATGCATCGTTTCGTATTCCGACGCTTCGATTCTCGTGCTCCTTCCGAGCTGCTGGATCTTTCTTGATCTAAGGATCCACATTGCAGAGGTCAAATATAAATACCACCTCTCCCTTCATTTTCATACTTTTTTCTCTCTGCATTTTCAAACCCTAAGTATGTTCTGTCGTTCTTCAACAATCTCTGCGTCGTCCCGCATATCTGGCATCCCTTCTGATTCTGTTTATCTCAGCTTATCCAATCATTACCATAAGTAAGTTCTTTATGCTTGATTCCAATAATTTCGTACAATTTCTGGGTTTTTAATTTTTTTGTCTTCTGAAAGTTCTTCATGTTCATCATGCTTTCCATGATCTTCATGTGTTTTTTGGTAATTTAAGTGTTTGATCTTCAAGTATCTTTACCCTAATATGATAAATGTTTCTCGCAAGTCAACTTAGGTAAATGTAGAATATGTTTAATATTTCGCTTATTCATCGCAACCTTGACTTGATCGCACCTTTTCGTTATTAACACGCTGATCACGACTTATTTTAAATTGCCCTCTGGATTCGTCTCCCAACTCAGTTAGTTATTTGGTTGATGGGGCCTTTGAATCCTATGATTCTTTAGTTCAAACAATTGGTTTCAAACCAGCTCATGATCAGGGAAATCCTTCTCGTTATTCGTATAATGACACCACTGGGGAGGTCGACTGGGAAGATTCTGATCGTACTCTGAGGTCGAGCTCCCCGAAGGTTCTCCTTGATTCAAACTTACCCCTAGAGGTATACCCTCTAGGTTTTTAAATATTCTTGTGTATATGGCTAGTCCACTTCCTGCACTAATAATTGTTCCTCTCGTCGACCTACATACTCA